AGGGGAGCGACAGGAAGGGGCGGGTCCTGACACGAGGTTATCTGGGAGTACAGAGTATCTTGAGGGCGAGGCGGGGGCATTACACGGGGCTATATGGTCGGGGAGAAGTGGGAGGAAGAGGAGAAAGGAAGGAGGAAGAATAAAAAGGAAGGAGAAACAGGGAGAGAGGGAAAGAGAAGGGGGAGAGTAGAAAGGGAGGGAGGGAGGAAGAGAGAGAGAGGAGGGGTGGTAGGTGGAAGGAGGGTGGGACAGCACACGGAAGGAGAGGGGAAGTGGGAAGGGAGGGAAAGAAGGGAATAGGGAGAGGGAGGGAAAGGAGTTTGAAGTAGACTACAGGAGGATTAAGAGATAAAACACGGTACCCAGGTGGAAAATGAGGGATTAGGTAAGATACGAGGAGGGGGGGGGAGGGAGGGAAGGAGGGAGGGAGGAAGGAAGGGAAGGAAGGAGGGAGGGAAGGGGAGAGGGAGATAAGGATGATGGAAGGGGATTCAGTGAGTCTTCAGGGGGGGATGGGGAAGGTTATAAGGAGATTCGAGACACGACAAAGGATTTACGACGATAACAAAGGGATTAGGGATATTAGGAAAGGGGATTGAAATGGACAATAAAGGGATTAACTACATTACGAAAGGTTCAAATAAAACAAAGGAGGATCGGGATGATAAAAAAATGCCTATTAAAGGGATTGAGAAGCGACTGAGAGGACTAGGTGGACAATAAAGGGATTAAGTGGCCTCATAAAGGATCGAAAGTAACAAAAGAGGAGGAAAATGGCAACTATAAAGGAATTGAGAGTCGACAAAGGGAATTTAAGAGTAAAAAAAGAGGATTAAGAGATTTGCGAGAGAAAAGGGGATCAGAGAAGAGGATTGGGAGTCTATAAAGAGGATTTTAGGGATGCTGTTAAGGATTGGAAGGGGATTTAAACATAATACGATAGGATTAGGAGAGAGACGAATGATAAAATGAGAAGGGATTTGAATATTATAATGAGATATTTAAGAGTAATGAGAATAATACGAGAGAGGATTAAGGATGATAAGAGAGGATTAGGGATTAGAGAGGATTAAGAGTAACACGAAGGGATTAAGGATGATAAGAGAGGATTAGGGATTATAGAGGATTAAGAGAAACACGAAGGGATTAAGGATGATAAGAGAGGATTAGGGATTAGAGAGGATTAAGAGTAACACGAAGGGATTAAGGATGATAAGAGAGGATTAGGGATTAGAGAGGATTAGGGATTAGAGAGGATTAAGAGTAACACGAAGGGATTAAGGATAAGACGATAATATTAGCCTTCAGAATAATAATAATAATAATAATAATAATAATAATAATAGTTCTCAATAAAAGTAACCAAACAAAAAATAATCCATTACTCTATAATTAAAACACTATAAAAACGACGAACAACAATATATAAGGACGGTATAATTATAATCAGGTTATCGTATATAATATAGGCAGGTCCATGAGGTCACAACTAATGCAATATATTACTCCCTATAACGAGGCAGACACGTTATTATGCAGGGAGCTTCGTATGGCAACACCGGCGCCAGTCATACATGTTGCCACCACACTGTCCCCTATTATATCTTATTATTTCTTGATTTTCTTTCTTATTTATTATTTTTCCTTTGTTTATTTAGTGTTATTTTTGCTTTTGTTGTTATTCAATACTACTTGTATCGTTATTCACTGGCATTCATCATTACCCACAACATTATACACCACGACATTAACATAGAGCAGATTCAGTTACCAATCCACAAATCCAATTACCTCCCATCTGGTAACACTGTCATACCCACATTGGAACCTCGGCATCAATGAAAATAAAATTATAAGTAAAAAAAATCCACAAAATCATTAAAAACATTGTAATTATGCCAATGAGTTAATCAATATAATTATCTTCATAGCTCATTAACTAATCTATATATACCTGGTAATTACCGTATGCAAATTAACCTTTTTTTTTAATACGGTACTTTTCAGCTTCTCATTATTATTCTTATCTCTTTGTCGCTATAATTACAGTAAAGTTACATAGTCTAGTAATTTACACCGTAGTATAATAATTATGTAAAAGGTTCCATTTTAATATGAACTGTTGGAATGAGTGTTTAGTACAGTAAGTTATGTGTTAAGTGTGGTGTGTGTAGTGAGGTGTGGTGTGTGTAGTGAGGTGTGGTGTGTGTCGTGTTGTGTGAAGCGTGTGGTGTGTGGTGTGTGTAGTGTGGTGTGAGATGTGTGGTGTGTGGAGTGTTGTGTGAAGCGTGTGGTGTGTGTAGTGGTGTTGTGTGTGTGGTGGTGTGGGTGTGGCATGGTGGTGTGGTGTGTGTGGTGTTGTGTGGGCGTGTGGTGTGTGTGGGATGTGTGTGGTGTTGTGGGCGTGTGGTGTGTGTGTGTGGTGTGGATGTGTGGTGTGTGGTGTGTGTGGTGTGTGTGTGTGTGTGTTGTGTGGGGCGATGTGGTGTGTGGTGTGTGTGGTGTGGTGTGGGATGTGTGGGTGTGGTGTGGAATATGTAGTGAGATGTGTGGAGTGTGGAGTAAGGAGTGAGGGTGTGTGGAGAGGGAGGCAAGATGGTATAGGTGGTAGGTAGGTAGGTAGGTTGGTAGGTAGGTAGGTGGGGTAGGTAGGTAGGAGGTAGGTAGGTAGGTAGGTAGGTAGGGAGGGAGGGAGGAGGGAGGGAGGAGGGAGGGAGGAGGGAGGTAGGCAGGTAGGAGGGAGGTAGGTAGTAGGTAAGGTAAGGAGGGAGGGTAGGTAGGTAGGTGGGTGGGTGGGTGGGTGGGGAGGGTGGGTGGGTGGGTGGGTGGGTGGGTGGGTGGGTGGGTGGGTGGGTGGGTGGAGTGGGGAGGGGTGGGTGGGTGGGTGGGTGGGTGGGTGGGTGGGTGGGTGGGTGGGTGGGGATGGGTGGGTGGGTGGGTGGGTGGGTGGGGTGGGGATTGGGTGGGTGGGTGGGTGGGTGGGTGGAGTGGGTGGGATGGAGTTGGGTGGGTGGGTGGGTGGGTGGGTGGGTGGGTGGGTGGGGTGGGTGGGTGGGTGGGTAGTGGGTGGGTGGGTGGGTGGGTGGGTGGGTGGGTGGGTGGAGTGGGTGGGTGGGTGGGTAGGTAGGTGGGTAGGAAGGGTGGGTGGGTGGTGGGTAGGTGGGTGGGTGGGTGGGTGGGGTGGGTGGGGGTGGGAGGAGGTGGGTGGGTAGGTAGGTGGGTGGGTGGGTGGGTAGGTGGGTGGGTGGGTGGGTAGGTGGGTGGGTAGGTGGGTAGGTGGGGAGGGAGGGGTGGGTGGGTAGGTAGGGTGGAGTGGGAGGGGAGGGAGGGGGAGGTGAGTAGGATGGGAAGGGAGGGGGGTGGTGGGTGGTGGGTGGTGGGTGGTGGGTGGGTGGGTGGGTGGGGAGGGTGGGTGGGGAGGAGGTAGGTGGGTAGGTCGGTGGTGGGTGGGTGGGTGGGTCGGTGGGTAGGTAGGTGGGAGGGAGGTGGGTAGGTCAGTAGGTGGGTAGGTCGGTAGGTAGGTGGGTAGGTAGGTAGGTAGGGAGGGTAGGTAGGTAGTGCTGTGTTGTTGCCAGATTCATGATACTGGTTCCTGACCAAAACAGTAAACAAATACCTGTACCTGGAAGCCATGATTAAAGGTGTCGTTTAACCTCTGATTACAATAGGAATGAATTAACGCCCTGACCCTGAATTAATGCCCCTCACCCTGTGCCCTCACCCTGAATTAATGCCTGACCCTGAATTAACACCCCTGACCCTGGTGCTGCCCTGAATTAATGCCTGACCTGAATTAATGCCTGACCTGATGTCACCTGACCTAGATTACCTGACCCTGAATTAATGCCCTGACCCTGAATTAACACCTGACCTGAATTAATGCCTGACCCTGAATTAACACCCTGACCCTGAATTAACACCCTGACCCTGAATTAACACCCTGACCCTGAATTAACACCCTGACCCTGAATTAACACCCTGACCCCAAATTAATGCCCTGACCCTGAATTATACAAACAATGATCACATTCTGTACTAACAATCTTCTTTTCTCTTTTTCAGGTTTTTTTGTAAGGAGTAAAAATATATATAACTTGAGAGCCAGACAATCATATACGATATAACAAGACGTGGTACTTATAAGATACAGTATATTGATCACTACAAGTCAAGGTTTTTTACCCAGTGTTAAGAGATGAGATAACTTACTACCATAACTCTGTAAGTGTTTTTCATAATTGAACTTTGTTGGAATAAGTAAATAAATAAGTAATTAATAATAAAAAAAAAGCGAAATGTGATATTAAACTAGTGAATTATTAGCCGTTTTTTGAAACACTCGTTTGATGCAACTGTGTGTGTACTGTACCGTACTGTAGTGTACTGTAGTGTACTTATTGTGTGTGTGTCAACCAAAGTGAACCTCGATATGCATTCCATGACATAAAACAAGCTCTTCTAACTGTGATTATTTCCATGTGTTTATAGATAATGTAGAACTATAGAAATAAATTAAGATAATTAACGTAAACTACTATTACATAAGAGATATATGAACGTATACCGGTACTGTCAACTGTCGAGCTTCTAAAAGTGTTGGAAAATAAAGAGAACAAAAAGAAAAACAATTAAGACGATAACTCCAGAGAAAAGGAACATTCACAGCTGTTAAGATGTGTCCCGTGGTCGACGCCAGGCTCCCCAGGGCTCCATGTGGTCATATATTCAACCCTTCGTGAGCCCTACCAAGCAAGCCCACACCACCTCAACCCACACACGCAGCCCGGTCTCCAGCCCACAGCCAGTCTACAGCCTCAGCCCACAGTCCGGTCTCCAGACTAAGTCCACAGCCCATACTAAGCCCACGGTTTCCTCCAGTCTCAACTTGAACCCATAGCCACCCGCCCACCTCCGTGTTCTCAGTAAATTCCTCCTTTTTTTAAATAATCCCCCACCAACAACAACCACATATAAGCTCGATTTTCTACCCTAAGCCCCCCTCTTCTCTGCCCCCTAAGCCCTAAACAAAACTCAGAGGCTTCACCAACGCCATTATAACACAGGGACCAAAGCACCATAAAGCCCGATTCTTCAAGCGCTATTTCCCTCACTCACAACACCAAGTCGACTGTTCCCTTTACAACCCTAACCATTAAAAGACCTCCAGTGCTCAATCAACCCTGAACACTTGCCAGGGACCTTCTAACAGTGATATTATACTCAACTCCAAAAGTCCTCCTAAAACCCACCCACAAAACCCTACAAACCCACCTACACACCAATCAAACCCACCTACACAACCCACCAAACCCACCCGGATATATACTCCAAGTCTGTGTGTAGTCTCTTGGTTTTTCCTCAAAGCCTTCAGACCTCACCAACAATTCTTTGATCCTGACGAGACTCTCACGACTTCACACACACACACACACACACACACACACACACACACACACACACACACACACACACACACACACACACACACACACACATACAGACAGACACATACACAGTCCTCACTAGCGAGAGAAAAAGAAAAAATATACAAAGACTTCTTCTCTCCTCTGATTCTAAAGATCCCAAAAACCAACACCATAACAAAAAATCCATTTGGGTTTTTATTTCACCTTGTTAGCTGAACGATTCCTTCCTCCCACAGTTAAGTCCTTCATATAAACCCCAACTTAAAACACTAAAAATAACAAAAAACGAACAATTGAGCACACAGAAATAAAAAACCTTCGGGAAAATATAAAACACGACCTTCCTGAAACTAGGATAGTACGCCCTTCCTTCCTCTCTCTCTCTCCCTCCCTCATCCCTCTCACGTTTTCTTTGACTCGAAAAAGTAAAAGAGGAACGGGTGCCGGCAGTAAGAACGAGACAGAGAAAAGAGAGAGGAGAACTTTGGCTCTATCTTCACCATGGTTCCTGCAGTCTCTTAGAACTCCTCCCGAAGGCTGTTGGTTGAAGACCCTGGGAGGAGGAGGAGGAGGAGGAGAAAGGGAAGTAAGGGCTGAGGCAACTGACGAAGAACCCCAAAGGCACCACGATGACACCCAGGGGCAACACGTCTGGGTCCGTTAAGGGCTTCCTGGATGTAAAGATTCCCGCCAGGAAGAGGAGAAGCATTTCGCTGTTTCGGGTGAGTACAAGATTTTTTTCCTAACCTTTTTTTTTCTCTCCCTTCTCTCTACATATTTACGGTTCTCAGAGTGTTATAGTTTTGTTCTTTTTTACCTTTTGGGGTCTTTTTATTTATACTTTTTTAGCTTTTATATATTTTTTTTGCCTTTATTTACCTTTTTAGCATTTTAGTTTTACTTTTTTAGCTTTTTAGTTTTTTTTTACTTTTTAGCTTTTTTTTTTTTTTTTAATTTTTAACTTATATACTTTTTATACTTTTACTTTTTTGCAAATTATTTTACTTTTTTCACTTTTATTCAATGGGATAATTAGGGCATTTCCGCCTTAAGACGCTGTAGGGGTATATTTTTTTTCCTTAACTCAAATATTTCCTATTTTTTCTATATATTTTTTTTTCTCTGAGTCCGTATTTACGAGAATATTTTCTTGATTTGGATTTTTTCAGGAATGTGAAATCTTTCTTTTCTTTGGGTCGACGCTGCATTTTATTTTATTTATTTATTAATTTATTATTTTTCTTGTGAGGGAATTCGTTAACTACAACCCAACTGGAATGTAAATGTATTTTATTTTTACAGAACTCTATAAAATTAAGGGTTTTGGGGAGGTATTTTACTCCTCAGGGTTGAATTAAGGTATTTTAGGCGGGTCTTTTATTACCGGGTGTTAAATTTGTTATACTCGTTCATCGAAAACAGCTGCCAGGGTTATACTCATAAATATGCTAATTAATATGCGATTGTGTGTGTGTGTGTGTGTGTGTGTGTGTATGTGGGTGGGTGGGTGGGTGGGTGGGTGGGTGGGTGGGTGGGTGGGTGGGTGGGTGGGTGGGTGGGTGGGTGGGCAGGGTATAAATCAATTCATTTATAACTCTGCTGTTGGTATTACAAACCTTAATTAAGTCTACGCAGGTGAAAAATTGGATGATTAATTTTCATATACGAATCAAAAACAAAGGTGTGTGTGTGTGTGTGTGTGTGTGTGTGTGTGTGTGTGTGTGTGTGTGTGTGTGTGTGTGTGTGTGTGTGTGTGAGTGTGTGAGGTGTGTGTGTGTGTGTGTGCGTGTGTGTGTGGTGTGTGAGTGTGTGTGTGTGTGAGGTGTGGTGTGAGGTGTGTGAGTGTGTGTGTGTGTGTGTGTGTGTGTGTGTGTGTGTGTGTGTGAGTGTGTGAGTGTGTGAGTGTGTGTGTGTGTGTGTGTGTGTGTGTGTGTGTGTGTGTGTGAGAGAGAGAGAGAGAGAGAGAGAGAGAGAGGCACATATCAAATCCCTTACCCTGCTCTTAAATCCGTATATCTACCTTAAAATCCCATCCTAATCCAAAAATCCCTGACCATCCCCGCAAATCCTTAACGTACCCTTAAAATCCCTTTAAATCCCACCTGAGACAACAGTAGGGACCCAGGAAGCCATTTCCATAAGACAACTGCTGAAATGGGTCCGCGTAGTAACGGGTCCTGGAGACGTGGTTGCTAGGGGGTGATACGTGGTTGCTAGGGGATGATACTTGGTTGCTAGGGGTGATACGTGGTTGCTAGGGGATGATACGTGGTTGCTAGGGGGTGATATTTGGTTGCTAGGGATGATATTTGGTTGCTAGGGGATGATATTTGGTTGCTAGGGATGATATTTGTTGCTAGGGGATTATACGTGGTTGCTAGGGGGTATACGTGGTTGCTAGGGGTGATACGTGGTTGCTAGGGATGATATTTGGTTGCTAGGGGATGATATTTGGTTGCTAGGGAATGATTTGGTTGCAGGGGATGATATTTGGTTGCTAGGGGATGATACGTGGTTGCTAGGGCTCATATACGTGGTTGCTAGGGGATGATACGTGGTTGCTAGGGGATGATATACGTTGGTTGCTAGGAGACAATTCATAGTAGCTAGGCGAAGAGTTGACCACACGTGGTTTCAGGCAGCCAAATACATCATAACAACTATTCATACACGACACTACATACTACTGCTACTACTACTACTACTACTACTACTACTACTACTACTACTACTACTACGCCCCGTCACTAAGAGATCCTGCCTCTCTCTACCCTCCTCCATACCGCCTCACTCCTACCCCACCTCCCCTTGCCCCACCCCCTCACCTCACCTCCCCCCTTTACCCCACCTCCCCTTAACCTCACCTCCTCCTTACCCCACCTCACCCCTCCTACCCCCTCCCCACGATCACAGGTAGTGGTGGTGGTATGGGGGCATAAGCAACACACCTGTATTACACTCACCCCGATGCACTAATCACCTGTATTCAACTCGCAGGGATTAATTAACTCGTTAGTTCACCTGTCCAGAGGAGTAGGACGAGGGATCGATTAGTTCTCTAAATCTAGGGGTTGTGTGTGGGAAGGGAGGAGGGAGGAGGGAGAAGTAATTAGGGATAGGGAGGGAGAAAGAGGAGGAAGGATATGAGGAGGAGGAGGGAGGAGGGGGAAAAGGAGGGAGGGTGAGAGGGGAAAGGGAGGGAGGCGGGAGGAGAGAGTGAGGAGTATGGTAATGTTATTTTGACTGAAACGATCCTTCAACCTCCTTAAGTAACTTGTTGATCCCTGCCACACCACGCCCACGCTGCCTCTCCACGCCCACTAGCCTCTCCACGCCCACGCTGCCTCACGCCAACCCTGCCTCACGCCCACCCTATCTCTACACACCCACGCTGTCTCTCCACGCCACCCTGCCTCTCCACGCCCACCCTGCCCTGTCTCTCCCGCCCACCCTGCCCCTGCCTCTCACGCCCACCCTGCCCCTGCCTCTCCACGCCCACCCAGCCCCTGCACGCCCACCCCTGCCCCTGCCTCTCCACGCCCACCCTGCCCGTGTCTCTCCACGCCCCTGCCCCTGTCTCTCCACGCCACCCTGCCCCTGCCTCTCCACGCCCACCCCTGCCCCTGCCTCTCCCGCCCACCGCACCCTAACATACTTGTTCTGAATACATGAATATTTGATGCAGCCAACATGATGGTATTTGTCTGTCAGTGTGTGTATGTATGTATGTATGTATGTATGTATGTATGTATGATATGTATGTATGTATGTATGTCAACAGGTATTAGGTCAGGTAAGATATCCTACAAGTCATCAACTTTTCCACACACACACACACACACACACACACACACACACACACACACACACACACACACACACACACACACACACACACACACACACACTACGCCAACGACACCACACAATATCAAACAGTTTTAGCCGATAAAGACCAAACTACCAATTAAACCCATAACAACCCCATTCTCACCTAAACTACTACCAAAGCCGATTAATATGCCGATAACCTAACATTCCGATATCGTAAAAATACCGATATCGGATCGTCATAACTCTATACACGGCTGTGCGTTTTGAGGTAACACACACACACACACACACACACACACACACACACACACACACACACACACACACACACACTCCGATAGTCACTCCAAACAGATAGACATTTAAAAGATTAGTTCGATGGAGAGAGAGAGAGAGAGAGAGAGAGAGAGAGAGAGAGAGAGAGAGAGAGAGAGAGAGAGAGAGAGAGAGAGAGAGAGAGAGAGAGAGAGAGAGAGAGAGAGAGAGAGAGAGAGAGAGAGAGAGACAGAGAGACAGAGACAGAGACAGAGACAGAGACAGAGAGACAGAGACAGAGAGAGAGAGAGAGAGGCAGGCAGTTTATCTCCGAACAGATGTATGCCCTTGACAGGTAATTTGTCTCGGTAAAGGGTTTACCTGTGAATGGGAATACTTCTACGGCATACAAGACATACATACACACATACATACATACATACATACATACATACATATTCCCCACACCATAAACATAACAACAACAACAACAACAACACATTACCTTACCTGTATTAATTAACAAATCTCACCTGGAATTTAAAGCCGAACCTCAATATAACACCAAAAAGTAAGTTAAGACAGAGATTAAGACAGAGATTAAGACAGAGATTAAGACAGAGATTAAGACAGACATTTAAAAAAGACATAGACACCATTATTTACACCAAGTTATGCCAACCTTCACACACGAGTTATAATTGAAGTATAATTGAATCATTAGAAACACGTATTTTGCTTATCATACTGTGAAACCTTATTAAAAACGGGTTAATATCACACTTACACACTTAAACACCACACACACACACACACACACACACACACACACACACACACACACACACACACACACACACACACACACACACACACACACACACACACACACACACAGGACTTGTATATCAAAACGGGGACCAAAAATTATCGCGTTAAATTCTCATAAATCAGACGGAATTAAAAGTTCATTATTTCCTGTACTAAAGAAATCTGTCAGCAGCGGGGAGGAGAAGAGGAGAGAGAGAGAGAGAGAGAGAGAGAGAGAGAGAGAGAGAGAGAGAGAGAGAGAGAGAGAGAGAGAGAATATGAAAAATGGAACACGAATTGGATCAAAGAGGGACGAGGAGGTAGAGGAAGAAGGAAGAAGGAGGAAGAAGGAGAATGAAGGAAGAGGAGGAAGGAGAGGTGGAAGAACAAGAACTGATATACATGCATTCGAAATATTACTATGAGTATTATTGTTACTATTACTACTACTCGTTCTTCAAGGTCGAACATGCTTCAGTGGTCGTTCTTTAAGTCGAGTCATACTTCAGTGGTCGTTCTTTAAGGTCGAGTCATACTTCAGTGGTCGTTCTTTAAGGTCGAGTCATACTTCAGTGGTCGTTCTTCAAGGTCGAGGTAGCCGAGGGAGGGGCGATGATGGAGGGTGGGAGGGGTGGAGGGTGAGGTATTGCTCTCTCTCTCTCTCTCTCTCTCTCTCCTGACCCCCGGGCAGACTTAATGACTGATAATTAAGAGGAAATGTGTACTATACCTGCCTCCTTCCCTTTAATCACCGGGGGAATGGTCACCTGGGGAGGAGAGAGGGTGAATGGGGGAGAGGGGTGGGTGAGGGAGAGGTGGGTGG